CATGCAATAAAAACTACAACTGCACTTGCTACTTTAGCTGCCACTGCAAAAGCATATGCAACCTCAACTGCACATGCATTGGAAACCGCAACTAAACATGCTACTTAATCAAAAACGGCAACAGCAAACGTAACTGAATCTGCATCAGCACATGCTACTGCAACTGCAATATTACCTGAAAACGCAACTGAAACTGCCACTGTACATTCAACTGCAATTGCGGCTAGAAATTTAACTGCAACTGCAACTAAAACTCCAACTGCAGCTGCAAACATATCTAATACTGTCACTGCACATGTTACTGCAGTTGCACCTACAACTAGCAATGAAACTAAAAATGCACACGCAATAGAAACTAAGTATGCAAGTGCCTCTATACTGCAACAAAATCTTATCCTAAGACTGCAAATGAACCTGCAATTCTAAAAACACTTGCTAATAAAACTACTCCTACACATGCAACTTCCATAGCAACCGCCACTGCAACCACAATTCAAACTGCACACGCACCTGCGTTTGTAACTGCACATGCACCTACAACTGCTCATGCATTTGCAAATGCACACGAAACTGTGACTGAACATGCAACTACACATGAACTATAAATACAACTAAAACTGCAACTAAAATAAACAGCCTAAACTGCAACTGCACATTTTACTGCAACTGCAACTGCAAAAGCATATGCAAATAAAACTCAAACTGCAAATGCCACTGCCAGTAAAACTGCAAGTACAACTGCACATGCGACATAAAAAACAAATTTTACTGCAAAGGCAACTTCTACTTCAACTGCACATGCAACTTGTACTGCAACTAAACCAACACCTGTAACTGCACACGCCACTGCAACTTCTTATTTTTTTTTTGTTTTTTTTTTCGTTATGTGGAAAAACTTTCCAAAGGCGCCCCTGGCCCGGTACCCAGGGAAGTGTCGGATTTTTACAGACAAAAAAACCCACCTGACTCTAGTACTTACATGCAGAGGAGGAGGCAGGCAGCACACACGGTTCATGCATACTATACCCGATGCCTCCTTCTTATAAAAGCCCAGCCGGATCTCGCCATGCTCTCAACACTTACTCTCACAAATCACTCCTGCATCAGATCGCACTCAACAGGGACATTTCCCCTGGAGGCGCTGACGCTACGCATACTGAGGGGAGTATAATTTTATCCCTCCTGAAAATGCAACTTAACCCAAACCATGTTAAAACTTAGCCCAGCTATTCGTCCTATGACGTGCAGGCCAGGCCCATTCACTCATGCTCTTATTTACCCCATAAGGGAAAAGCAGCGCACAGGACTCCGCCATTCGCCGCCTAGGTCACCTAAAGTCTCGCTCGGGGGTGCCGCCTAGGTACAAGACCTCTCTGCGGCCTCGCACGCATCCTTCTCGCATTCATCTACTCTCTCTCCCTCTCATCATCTTCCTTCTTCCGCATCACCAGTCCCGCAAAGGACTGGAATTCAGCCCACCCCCCCGGCATATTCTGTGATGCACTGACTATACTTGGAAGGGAAAGCCGCCGCTTACCCAGCTCCCTAACTAGAGCATTCCTCTCATTCATCCACGACTAAGATGATCAGGGTGTGATCCGCGTCGTCCTCATAATCCTTACAATAGAAACATCACAAAGATGCAGCTCTACCTATTCTATATAGTTACGCTGGAAAACAGCAATGGCCGGTAATCAGCTAAGTAATGTAAAAGGTCGTGCTGATAGAGAACGGCCTCTCAACCCACTAAACCAACCTATCAGCAATAGCTGCCTTCACGCGCACCCTTGTTTTCCCAGGAACTCCAATCAAAATAACTCCTCTTCCCTTCATGCAACAACCGCACCCCACCTCGCAAAGCAACTAAACGCCGCCTTGATGCACAGAAGGACTATTCCTTCCGCACTTCCAACAGTCGCATAAGCCTCCGCAAGCCGTAGCGCAAGATGATAAAAGAAAATGACCACCGCAACCATCATTGCCGCATGAAAGGGAGCCGTTCTGTAAGCGCAACAAACTCTGATCGCCCCCTTCCTTGGGAAGGCAGGCAAACTCCGCTTTATTTTGGAGTCCTCCTAAACAGCGCGCCACCACACCAAAGCTCCATAAAGAAGGACCAAATTGATCACGCTGCTGTATAGGCACCGCTTCTTTTCCCTCGGTCTATAGAGGTTCGGAAGAAGCCTTTCAAGTGACCGAAAAATACCCTTCACCTTAGGGATCAGAGCCTAAAAGTGGAGCCTGAACGTAAAGCCAGAGTCTAATAGTACTCCCGGATATTTGACCCTGGGTTTTAAGCTAACACAAGACCCCCTCATCCTAATAACAGAGGGCCTAACACTTCTTCGTCTGCAGACAGCTAAGGCAGGGAAGGCTATTGCTTTCGTTCTGTGCAACGCTACCTTAAGGCCAAGCCCCTTATTTAGCCCCACAAGCACTTCGTGGTCTCTCTCTGCACTCGTAATCGCCCAAGGCCGATCCCGCCCCACCGCCAGAAGGGCCATGTTATCTGCGTAACAGAGATCACGGGAGCCCATCGACAGCGCGACACGGAGGAGACTGTCGTATGCAATGTTCCACAGTGTCGATCTTAGTACTGACCCCTGCGACACCCTGCACGTTACCCGTCGTTAACTTACCCGACCCTGTCTCCCCAAAAACACCAAAGACCGGTCTAATAGGTAACTTCTTATAAAGTTCACCGTATACGTAGGGAGGCCCTTGTCTTCAAACGCCCTAAATATGGTGACCCATAGAAGCGAGTTAAACGCGTTACTTATGTTCAATGACACAAGAATCCAAACCCGCTCACTGTTGACGCAGACCTGAATGAAGTCTCTCAAGACCAAGATCGCGCCCACCGTTAAGCGACTAGCCCGAAAGCCGTGTTAGGCGAGCGAGAGTAGACCCAACCTCTCTTCACGCACTCATTAACTCTAAAGACAATCACTATTTCCAGCAGCAAGCCCACCTCGTCAAGCAAAAAAATCGGCCTGTACGAACCAGGCAAGTCCGGCTGTGCTTCTTGTTTCTTCTGAAGGACCAGTCTGACCCTCTTTTAGGCTCATGGGAAGTTTCTGGTCCTCATACACTCCATAAACATTTCCGCTAAGCCAGGGCTATAGTGTGCAGCCGCCACCCTCACTATCGCGCCCAGGACGCAGTCCAGCTCTAGAGCTATTCCAGCGTTGATCTTCTTTGCTGCAGCAAGCACTTGTCCTGCCGTAGCTGCAGCCCCATCAACTTGCACACTGCGCCACGCCGTTGAACCGTCTCGGTCCACCAGTGGGAAGAGACTCCTCAATACACGGTCCAGCACGTCCGGTTCCAGTACCTCGGTAACCGGCGCCGCGTACGGCCTCAGCTTTCCCATGAAAATTCGGTATGATCTGCCTACTAATCCCATTTCAGCGAAGCCAGAAACTCCTGCCAGGCAAGGGTCTTAGCCCTCTAGATAGCCCCCCTTAGATCCTGCAAAGTAGTCGCTGCCTGAAGGCTGTCAGTTCCTGCGACCAACAGGACACCTTCCTTCTTTGGTCCATCTTGCCGAATATTCTCGGCATAGCCATGTCACAGGCACACTTCAATGTATCGTGCACCCACTTCGTTAGCACTCGCAAACAATCAGCGTTCCCCGCACGCGTTTACTCACCCGATATAAGAGCAGCAGCAAGAATGTTATTCTCTAAGGCCCTCAAATTCCAATGACAATAAGTCTTATCCTGTGAGCGTAAGCCTCGGACACCTGCAGCCTCAGGCCTGTATTTAATTAACCCAAAACTATGGTCCGAAAGGGACTCTGCCTCATCTACACTTCATTCCATTACGCGGACATTACTGGTGAGCACCACGTAAGGTCGGTAACGCTCGACCCTTGCGGCCGAACGCACGTTAAGCGGAAAACCCGATTGGAGAAGTGCAAGTCCAATCTGTTGGCCCACAGGCAGAGTAACTCTTCTCTTAGCTTACCCCTGCCGTCCAGGTCCAACCTAGGAGCCCGAGCATTGAAATCACCGGCCACTAGCGCCAGCAAAGTAGGATATTTTCCTAAGAGCTCTTCGAGCTCGTCCATGAGTCTACTTAACTTATCAATTAGACGGAAACTATACGCGAGTCTTTCCATTTGACGGCAACAAAAAAGAAACATCAACACACTAGGCTACAGTGTCTTCCGTTTTCACCCAGCAGCACCGCAGTCAGCAGAGCTCCCCACCCCAGAGACGAGAACAATTTCTCGTTCTCACGGGGTACCCACCACAGCTCTGCGATGAAGCAACGTTAACCTGGTCCACGTACATGCGATGTGCTAACAATTCTTGCCCACCGCGCGCATTATTCAAATTTATCTATACAAAGTTCTCACTTACCGCCATTACTACAGCTAGTGGTCCCTGCTTCAGTGCCAGGCTGTTGCTGCCGGTTTTCACTCACTGTTCTTCTCCAACTTGCCGGAATAGACAGGTCTACTACGTCCACATCAATAGTAGATCCTCCTCCCTGTTTCCGGTATTCGCACACGTCGGACCACCGGTAGGTCCATCCCTACGCGCACTCGCAGAAACTTGCACTCCAGCACCATGCGTACTCGCGGACACAAAAACTCCTGCCCCAGTATTACGCGGCGGCACTACTGGACACTCCTAGGACCCCGCACAATGGTTCACAGTCCTGCGGCCGGCATCCTTGCCGACCATGCACTCAATCCTGCCGACGCAGATCTTAGCAACATGATCTGGTCGCCCACACCTATAACACAGGCTTCCCCTTTCAACCGCACTCGGGCATCCTGCTGCGACATAACCCCTGGCAAAGCAACGGTTACACTGCAGCTGCCGCTGCTGTAGGTTGACGACTCTTGCTGTGCAGCAGCTAATGCTGATACTGCGCTTAGTTAGGGCCGCTTGAATCGTCGCCAGCGGAGTAGTGTCAACAGTCTCCCTTAGTTGTCCTTTTCTGGACCTTATCTCTCTCACCCCGATGTAGTAAGGGCTTACGCCACCCTACAGTTCCAATGGGGCATTCCTAATAATAGTAGCATTTAGTACTAGGTTTATCCCCACAAGCCTAACTGTTCCCATTCTCTGCAGCCTGGAGACCTTCGCCTCCAAAACCGTCTTTTTAAGCGCTTTGGCAATCCGTTCCACCCTAACGGCTTCCTTCTCGCCCTTGAATCTCCAGATAAAGGCTCCAGTAACCCCCTAGAAGGTCATTGTTTCCAGACCTAGCATTTTAAGGCTGATGCTCCTCCTCGCCTTGACGCGAGCATTCCGGTAGGTTGCTGCTTCCTAACATACCAGAGAGACCGCCGCAGTCTCTCTGATTCTCCTCTTGCGGTTCCTCTTACGCGTCATCTTCCTAGGTTTCTTCTTAGCTTTCTTTTTGTCCTCGGCCGTATCTGTGTTAGCAGGCTGCCTTTCTTTCATTCCATCCAGGCTGCTCGGTGTCTGTTGCGCCGTCGGTGTCCAGAGCTGCAACCGCCTCTTCTTCCGATTAACCACCTCCACAAACTTATGCCCAGAAGCTGGGGAAACCGGGGTCGAAGCATGCTGGTCAGTAACGCGTACAATGTTGGGGCGGGGGGGGGGGGGGGGAGAAGCTCTAGCGTTCCTTTCAACAGTGGTCTTTGGTTTTGTCGTCTCTTCAGATTGCTAGCAAGGGTTAGCTAAGGCGCGTACAGCAATCCTTATCTCCCTATTGGGCAACTGTAACACCTCCATACCGATGCCTAGCTCTCTCAGCTCCGCCACTACGCTTTTGATGTCCGCGTTTGAGCTGGATCTGGAGGCATCCAGCCTCTTGCCGATAGCCTTTGTCTTCCTGCTTGAGGGTCTACTAGCCCTCTTTTGGCTCAAGGCCATAACCTCACCCTGAACACTGGCAGCAGTAGCCTTCTTCTTCTTAAGCTTCCTCCTGAGCTTACCACATTTCTTCCTTATGCTTTTCTTCTGGGCCTTCACCAAGCTAACCTCGATTCTCAGCTGGCTTACGGTCTCCGTCTTAGTGGAGATTGCGCCCAAAAGCTTCCCCAGCCTGCCGTCCATTTCGTCCGCGATCTTTAACACCTCTTTGATGTTTCTCTTTATGCGGTTAGAAACTTCCCCCTTCAAATTAGAGGACCGCGCCCGCTCCGCCTCCACTCCCATTAAGAGCTCCCTCAACTTGACGGTCAGCCTCCCAGACTCTATAGCTGACAGAGAAGGGCTGATTTCTACCTCCTTCCTAATGATGACAAACTCCTTTCTCAGTAGGACCATCTCGACGATCATACAGTCTTCTTCCTCCGAAGGCGCTATGGTCGGCATTATACTCCTGCTGCTTCTCGTATTGAATAGTGAGCGCGAGTCAGATAGCCTTAAGGCCTTGACAGCTCTAGCAACTCATTGCCACCCCTCCAGACCGTCCTTCCTACCTAAAGCATTAATTTCTCCTAAAGCAAGGTTGCCTACCTGTGAACAACTTCCCGACACATTACCCAGAGCCGAAGAGAGGTTGCCTAAACCGGACTCCTGAAGGTCGTCTGATGTCGACGGAGGGTTGCCTGTCAAACCAGCACCAAACACCGCCGTAGTGTGGGTCTCCCTTCCTCACCGGTTAGCTGCTTAAGTTGTACTCACAATATTTTTAGTAATTCTGTAGGAACGGAAGGAAGAGGAGAAGAAAAAGAAAATAAGTAAACGAAGATGGGACAGAAAGCGATAAAGACAGGAATAGCCATACGAGATCAATCACACTCCATAAATATCTTCCCTTTTCATTGCATCTTACGACAAGCATGGAATTCTGCTACACCCTGCCAACAGAGGGGTACCACTGCAACTACTTCTGCAACTTCAAATGCAACTGCATATGCATTTAAAACTACAACTTTAAATGCAAAAGCAGCTAAAACTGCAACTGCACAATCTACTGCCACTGCAACTGCAAAGGCATTTGCAAATAAAACAGCAACTGCAAGTGCAATTGAGACGTAAACAGCAACTGCAACTACAACTGCAACTAAATATGCAACTGCACCTGCAAAAGCGTGTGCCAAAAAAACTGCAACTGCAAGTGCTATTGAGACGTCAACAGCTGCTACAACTAAAACTGCAACTAAAACTGCAGCGCTAACTGCCATCGCAACTAATTAGGCAACTGCACATGCAACTGCAACTGCAACTGCAACTGAAACTGAAACGGCAACTGCATAAGCAACTAAATCTGGAACTGCAACCTTAACTGCCTCTGCAACTGCAAACGCTTCTAAAACTGCAATTGCACATGCTACTGCAACTGCATAAGAATATGCAACTCTAAATGCAAATGCACCTACAACTGCCTTTGCAACTACAAATTCACACGCAATTGTAACTAAACATTTAACTAAACATGATCTAAAAATACAACTTCAACTGCACATGCAACTGCAACTGCAAATTTACATGCAACTGAAACCTTAACAGCACATGGAATTACCACAGCAACTACAACAGCAAATTTAACTGCAACTGCTACTGCAAATGCAGCTGCATATGCAACTTCTGCTTAAAATACACATCCAACAGCATTTGCGTCAGCAGCTGCAACTTAACCTAAAACTGCACATGCAACTGCTATTGCCACAAAACATGCTACTAAAACTGCTAAAGTACATAAAACTGCAATATCAACTTCAACTGCATCTACATCTGAACAGCACACTTCAATGCAATTGCCACTGCTACTGCAGCTACAATTGTAACTGCACACGCAACTGCAACTGCAACCAAAACTGAAACTTTAACTGTATATGCAACTAAAAGTGCAATAGCAACTGCCACTGCCACTGAACAGGAAACTAAAACTGCCCATGCAAATGCTACGACACATGAAACTGCCACTAAAACCGTAGTATTTAGTTATTATACTTTTATAAACATGGTTGCCTACATAAACAACTGCAACTATAATTGCAACTGCAACTGCAACTGCCACTGAAACTAAAACTGCAACTTTACATGCCACTAAACCTGCAACTGCATCTGCAAACGCAATTAGTAATGCAACTAAACATGCTACTGCAATTGTACAGGCAACTGCAGCTGCAACGACGACTGTAACTACATACGCAGCTGCAATTGCATACGCAACTAAAACGGCAACTGCGATTACAACTGCAACTGCTACTAAAACTAGAGCTGTAAATTCGCATGCTACTTAACTGCAACTAATGCTGCAAACGCAGCTAATACTGTCACTGCACATGCTACTGCATTTTAACAAGCAACTGAAACTGCAACTAAAACTAAAACTGCACATGAAACTGCAATAGCAACGGCAACTCCAATCGCAAGTGCAACTAAAACTAAAACAGCAACTGCGAATGCATTTGCCAGAAAAACAGCAAGTGCTACTGCACATGAACCAAAAACAGCAAATTTCACTGCAAACGCAACTTCTACTTTAACTGCACATACAACTGCTACTGTCACTAAGTCAACACCTGTAACTTCACACGCTACTGCAATTGCATTTGAAACTGCTACTAAAACTAAAACTGCGACTTTAAATGCCACTGCAACTGCAACTAGAACCTCAAACGCAGGTAAAACTGCATATGCATATGCTACTGCAACTGCCACTAAAACAAAAACGGCAAATTTTATGATACAAAAACTGCAACAACAACTGCAAACGCAGCAAATACTGCAACTGCACATGCTAATGCAATTGCACATGCCACTGCCACTGCTACCACAACTGTAACTGCACACTCTAATGCAAGAGCAACTACAACTAAAACAGAAACTGCACCTGCATAAGCAACTTAAACTGTTACAGCAATTGAAACAGCAACTGCAACCGTAAGTGTAAGTAAGACTGCAACTGCATATACAACAAAATTTAGATCTGCGAATGTAAATGCAACTAAAAACTAAAACGAACAAAAATTTCTACAGCAAATGCAACAGCAACTGCAACTGTTAAAGCATATGCAAAAAAAACAGCAACTGCAAATGCAAAAGCAAAAAAAGACCAAGTTCAACATAAAACTGCATCTGCCACAGCATTTGCTACTAAAACTGCACATGCAACTGCAACTGCAATAGCAAATGAAGCTGCATAAGCAACTTTTACTTCAACTACACATCAAAATGCAAATACGTCTTTAAATACAATTAATCCTAATCATGCAAATGCAATTTCAATATCAAAAACACATGCAATTTAAACTACTGCTCTACATGAAACTGCAATAAAAACTGCAACTGCAACTTCATCTGTAACAGCACAATCCACTGCAATTGCAACCGCAACATTAAATACAACTGTAACTGCACACGCTACTGCTATTGCAACTGCAACTTCAAAAGCAGCTGCAACTGCAACTGCAAAAGCATTTGCAAACTCAATTGCAACTGCAAACACAGCTACAGCTAAACCTGCACATGCAACTGCAAATGCAACTAAATTTGCTACTGCACATGCCACTTTAACTGCATCTCCTCCTAAAAATGAACGCACTATTTCAGCTAGACTAAAAACTGAATTTGAACTTAAACTTCACATGCAACTGCATTTTCAAGTACACATGGTACTGCTACTGCAACTGCAGATGTTACTGCAACCGTAAATGTCCCTGTAACAGCAACAGAATTTTAAACGGCAACTGCACATGCAACTGAAACAGCATGTACAACTGCAACTGCTCATGCAACTATAACTGCCCATGCAACTGCAAATGCAAACGCAATTGTAACTAGATATGTAACAGCACATAGCCTGCAACAACAACTCATTCTTAATATGCAAATGCCCTTCCAATTGCAACAACACATGCAATTAAAACTACTACTGCACATGCAACTGCAATAGCACCTGCAACTGTCAAAGCATATGCAAATAAAACTGCAACTGCAAATGCCACTTTTACTGAAACGGCAAGAGCAATTGCACATAAAATTGTAACTAAAACTGCAACTAAAACTGAAATTGCAACTGTACATGCAACTGCAACAGCAACTGCAACTGCAAACGCAATTTCTACCACAACTGCAGATGCAACTAAAACTACAGATGCACATGCTTCTGCAGTTTGAACTGCAAAAGCGTAGTCAACTGCTACTGCACATGAGACTGAAACTGCTAATGCACATGCAGTAGTATTTGCAACTACAACTGGAAACGAAACGAAAACTGCTACTGCAACTACAACTGCAAATGCACCTTCATTTGCAATTGCAACGATAACTGTAACTGAATACGCAGCTGCAAATAAAACCAAAACTAAAACTGGAACTGCAACTGCATATGATACTAAATCTGCAACTGCAACTTACACTGCAACGGCAAATGCTACTCAAAAAGAAACTGCAAATTTACATGCAACTGCAAAATCACACGCAATAGAAACTAAATATGCAAGTGAATTAAAACTGCAACTTCGACAGGTCCTAAAACTGCTAATGCAACTGCAATTGGAGAAACACTTGCAAATAAAACTTTCTTTGCACATGCAACTGCAACCAAAATTGTAACTAAACACGAACCTTCATTTGCAACTGCAACTGAAACAGAATCTAAAATTTCTACTGCAACCGAGACTGCAACTGAATATGCCTCTAGAACTGTAGTTGCAAATGCAACAGTACAGGCAACTGCCACTACACCTGCAAATACAATTGCAATTGCAACTGCTCATACAGCTGCATAAGCAAGGTTTACTTCAACTACACATGTAACAGCAGATGCATATGCAACTGCAAGTAAACCTAAATCTGCACATCGAACTACAATTTGTCACAACAAATGCTACTAAAACTGCTACTGCACAGACAACTGCGATTGCTACTGCAACTGCAACTGCTTCTGCAACTGCAACTAGACATGCTTATGCAGCTAAAAATGCAAAAAAATATGCAACTGCTACTGCACATTAAACTAAAATTGCAAAATAACATGCAACTGCAATTGCAACTGCTGCTACAACCAAAACTGTAGCTGCACATGGATCCGCGACTGCAAATGCAAAATTAAATAAAACTGCAACTGCAACTGCAGCTGAAATTAAATCTGCATTTTTTTGATAATTTATATTATTTTACCCATGTTTCCTAAACATGTAAATATAACTAAATCAGGAAATCCACTGCAACTGCAAATCCACATGCAACTGTTACGGCAACAGCATACGACACTACAAATGTAACTACACAAAGTACTGCAACTGCAAGAGCATTTGCACCCGCAACATTAAAAGCAAATGCAACTGCAAACACTAATTGTACTTAAACTGCAAATACAATTACAATTGCAACTTTAACTAAAACTAAACATGCCACTG